CTTCAGATTTCTCTTCAGTCTGCGATGATGCAACGTGTCGGACACACAGGCAGAGAGGAGCTACTGTGAGGAGGAGGAGGAGGAGCAGGAGCAGGAGGATTTCACATGAAAGTATTTAGATCTGTTTGATCTTTAGATGGTTGTAAGAGTTTGAAACAGTCATGGATCTTCACACCTCTTTTCTCCCCTCTGAGGAGTCTGAGCTGACCTGGACGAAGAGGACAAAGAGGTCCATCTGTCAGACCTGTAGGACGGAGAAGTAGCAGGACTCCAGATGTCCCCTGTTCCTGATCCCCATCTTGTTTGGGAGCGGACTCAGGAGGACTCTAAGCAGATGTTGAACCACCTAAATGAACTCAACAAGGAGCTGCTGCTCCACCCTGGGCTCCTCCTGGATGTCTGGGCTCCTCACTCCTTCTCTCAGGCTGAAGTTTGTCGGCCCTCCTCCTCCTCAGTCCCTCCCTGATCCAGACTCAGACTGGTTAGATCCACCTCTGCATTATAAAGAGGTTGATGCTCTCTCTGTATCGGTGCGCTGCTAGGAGAGCTGGACGGTGAACATCGACACAGAGACCAGGACTGAAACACAGGATTGTGGGATTTTACCTTCATGGCGAGGGCGATCAGCGCTCCTTCTGTTGGTCGTCCCAGCAGAGCGTGATTCCTGATGACTGAGTCGTTGCACACACAGCCCACCTGACAACACACACACACACACACACACACACACACACACACACACACACACACACACACACAACATGCATTAATGCTCAGTTAGTTTCATTGAGTACACAACTATGAAGATCTTTAGATCTTTACATCCTAGAGAGACGGAGAGTATATGAAATACAGGCCTGCTTCATATACAGGCCTGTATAAGAAGCAGGCCTGTTTCATATACGGCCTGTATAAGAAACAGGCCTGTATATGAAACAGGCCTGTTTCATAACAGGCCTGTTTCATATACAGGCCTGTATAAGAAACAGGCCTGTATAAGAAACAGGCCTGTATAAGAAACAGGCCTGTATAAGAAACAGGCCTGTTTCATATACAGGCCTGCTTCATATACAGGCCTGTATATGAAACAGGCCTGTTTCTTATACAGGCCTGTATATGAAACAGGCCTGTTTCATATGAAACAGGCCTGTTTCATATACAGGCCTGTATATGAAACAGGCCTGTATATGAAGCGGGCCTGTATATGAAACAGGCCTGTATCATGAAGCAGGCCTGCTTCTGTAGGCAGTAGAAGATTCCTGGAGTCCTTCAGGTCTCTCTGAGCTCTCTGTGTCCGTACTCACTGACCTTACAGCTGATGACTTCTTTAGTGATTTTAGAGTTAAAGGCAAATTTCTGAGGCTTTAATAAAATCTTGAGAGTTTTTCTGAAGCTGCGCTGCGCTCCCATGATTTCAGCCAATCAGTGTGGAGCTGAATCTGGACTTTCTTGTTTTCATCTAAACGTTTAAGATAAAACCGTAGCTGCTCAGCTCTTTAATCAGGTTATTCAACAATGTAAACATTAACATTTCCTATACTTTATATATTTTAATAAGTTTTTTCTTTAACTTTATTAAAAAATTAAGAAAGTCTCTACACTCTCTGACCCTGACACCAAACAAGTCCTCCAGCGTGTTAGACTTCATATATTTGACATCCTGAACGTTTCTGATCCTGTTTTATCAATCAGCAGATTAAAAAAGGTCAACCTTCTTTTGAACCTTCAGCCTCGGAGTCCGGACTCACCTCCACGATCTTGCTGATGGACTGACAGGAGAAGCCGTGGATGACCTCTCCATCCAGTAAAACTTCTCCAGCTCCGTTGTAGCCGACGCCCGTCACCTGCAGGAAAACAACAACGGTCCGAAATTTTTAAAGATGGAAAACGTTAAAAACAAGCAGCAGCAGCAGCCCTCCATCTTTAATCCGCTGTCTTCTGTTCTCTGTCAGAGTCTACGTGATAATACGAGGTCACATTAACGTGTCATTAAGCAGCCGAGGTCACCTGACCCACTTCTCCTGAAGGCTGCTGGGATTTCAGACCAGAGAAGTGGGTCGATCTGTTCTGAGCAGACCTCAGAAATGAGGACCACCTCACAGCAGAAGGCTCAAACTGTGGTCCTTCACGGTAAACGAGACGTTAATCTGATCAACCAGGACATTCATCAGGAAACACATGAATGATGAAGATGAAGAGGAGGGGCGGGGCTCAGACCTCAGCGTGGAGTCCGTCCGAGGTGAACAGCTGAGTGACCGTCATCTCGTTCTTGGTCAGAGTTCCCGTCTTGTCTGAGCAGATCACGTTACAGCAACCTGACGGAAGAACAACACGAGAAACTTCAGCTTAGATTAAATCACACAAACCGAGAGTCAGAAACAATCAAACACAGATTATAATCACAGATTATAAAAACAGATTATAATCACAGATTATAAAAACAGATTATAAAAACAGATTATAATCACAGATTATAAACACAGATTATAAAAACAGATCA